CGGCGAGATTCGGGCCGCCGCGGGCCGCCCGGCGCCCGTCTGTATTTTTAGGGGCGTGCGTTTGCCTTCTGTCGCCGAGCCGAATTTTCGTGCCGAATTACAGGCGCCGCGGGGCCAATTCGGGTATGCCCTGGGTCGCTGAGCCCTAAGCGCGCGCTGCGCCGTAACTACTAGAACCGTAATGAGGAGTGTAGAGACATTTTCAAGTCTTTGCAGATGAAATTTTGCCTTGATGCGCGTGATTTTCAAGCACCTGACCGCCCTCCCTGATGCATCTTGATCGACTTCTTAGCCTTTTTTTCGTTCTGGACGCAATGTCCTTCTTGACTGCTACTTAATTGCTAGTGCTGTCTTGGTGGCATGCATCTATTGCAGAATTGGGCCTGCAAGCAGCAACTCGCGTCCGAAATCGCTCTGGAAGCTCCCTCCCTGTCAGCACCGCTCAATACGCCGGGATCAGCCGGTCTGCGACCGCCCGCCACCGCCGCTGCAGCCACGACGGCCCGCGCCCCTCTGCGTCGATGCTCCTCACCGCCGCCGCGCAGAGGAACACCGTCGGGTGCAGCCACCCGGGCTTATTTTGGCTCTTGAACCCCTCCCACTCGACGAGCCACCCGCCCACGTCATGCGCCGCGTCGCGCGGCGGGAACAGCCACGCGGCCGATGGCGGGAGCCAGCTGCGGCGCATGCGGCAGAGCAGGCGCGTCTGGGGCAGCCGGGTGCGGTAGAACAAAATGTCATGGCTGACCCCCGGGGTCCAGGAGGAGTGGATGAGGGCGAGGACATCGCCGCTGTACGGCGCCAGCACCGCATTATCCAGGAGGGCGGCCACGAATTCCCCCTGCACGTACACCTGTGGGAGTGAGGTGGGTGCAGCACGCGCGCGTCTCCGTTGGGTGTTGGGAGATTTGCTGTTGGACGGATGCAGTCCTCAACGCGACCAGCTCCAACAATGGGGGTTCCAGGCAAAACCAGCGATTGACCGGCGCATGGCAACAGAACCACAATAAGCAGTCATTGAAGAACCCATTTCGGGGGCTCGGCCAAGCCGCCTGACGAAAGAACACGCGTCGAAAATCCGGCGCCCCGCACCTTGACGGGCTTCTGAGGCTGCGCCTCGTCCCGAACCGCCACCGCCACCACCCCCTGGGCCCCCGGCGGCCCCAGCGCAGCTTCAACCACCGTGGCGCCATCTGTGAGGTCGTCGAAGCCCCAGCTGCAGCTCGTCCAGTCAGCGCTGGGCCGCCGGTTGAACAGGCGGCGCCGGAGCCAGCGGCGCGGCCACAATTTCTGCTGCGGCTGCTGCGGCTGCTCCTGCTCCTGCTCCTGCTCTTGCTCCTGCTGCTGCTGATGCGGCTGCTGCTGTTGCGTCTGGTGGTGCCGTTGCTGGGGGTGGTGCCGCTGCTGCTGCTGCTGCTGCTGCTGCTGCTGCTGCTGCTGCTGCTGCTGCTTCTGGTGCCGCTGGCTGGGCTCCTCCTGACGCCGCCGCAGCGCCTCGGCGGCGGAGGCGGCCTCTGCAAGGGGCGCGGCGCCGGCGCCGCCCCAGATGATCTCGGACGCGCCTTCGGCGGTGCCCAGAGTCCCACGCCTCAGAAGACTCGACGGGCGCACACCGCCGGCTGCACAGCCGCGGGCATCGTCCGCGCCGCCCCTGCCGCCGCCGCCGCCGCCCCCGTGCCGCTCCTCCCACTCGCGCCCCAGGCTGGCGGCACCGATGCTCGCAGCGCCTCGCCCCTGCTCCTGCTCCTGCGCCCCCTCGCCTTCCCCTGCAACCGCCCCGCCCAGCGTCTCCACCAGCAGCTGTCCCTCATCCATCCCGCCCTGCTCCGCCGGCGGCAGCAGCCCCGCCGCCGCGGCTGCCGCCGTCCCCGCTGCCTCAAGCTGCGGCGCCGCCCAGTCGTAGCTCAGGCGCAGGGCGTGCGCCTCTGTCAGCGCCGCGCGCCAGCGCTGCTCCTGCCCGGCCCAACGCTCGCGCCCTGGCTCGCCGCCGCCGCCGCCGCCGCCGCCGCCGCCGCCGCCGCCGCTGCCGCCCGGCCCCGACTCGCAGTCGCTCTCGTCGCTATCTTCGTCGATGTACACTATACCGCTGTACCAGCGAAACGGCCCCCGCTGGGGGGGCCCGCTGCCGCCGCCCTCGCCGCTGCTGGCGGCGCCGGCATTCGAGCGCCGAGCCGCATTCCCTGCTTCGCCCTCCGCTCCGCTCGAGCGGCCGCCGTCTGCGTCGGCCGCCGCCGCCCACCCTGCTAAACTCTCTGCCCCCGCACCAAGCAGCTGCTCCATCTGCGTCCGCGTCAGCTGCCCGTCCTGCAGCAACACTTCAGCAGCAGCCGCCACACTGCTCCTGCCGGCCGCCAACTCAGCGACCGCGCCGCCGCCAGCGGCTGCCGGCAGCGCCGGATGCGCCCGCGGCAGTGCGGGCGCGGCGCCGTCGGCGGCGTCGAGCAGCGCGGCGCGCCGCAGCCGCACGCAGCCCAGGAGGGTGCGGCCTGAGACTATCTGCAACAAATCAGTGCTCGCGCCTGGGCTGCTGCGCTCCTCTGCTTCAAACGCGGGCGGCAGCTCCCCAGGCTGCAAGCCGGCCAGCCTGCGTGTTGGCGGGAGGTGCGTGGAGGGCGTGGGGCTGATGTTAAGCTGCGCATGGGCGCATGCATGCGTGTGCATGCAGACGTGCAGAACCACAATCATGCCAACGTGCGGCTGCCATTTTGCACCAAATCGGGCCGGTGGTTCCGAGGTGGCAGCTGCTGGGCGTGCTGGTGGTCGGTGCCGATTAGGAATGCTTCTCACTACATGGGACCCCCTTAGTGAGCCCCTGAGCCGGCTGCTTGCAAAACAGTGCATGCGTGTGTGAGTGTGGCGCATGATCCACCTGGGCCCGAAAAAGGCGTGCAGCAGCGCGGAATGGAGGTCCGATTCCAGCGTCTCCCGGTACCGATGCAACGCATCCATCACGCCACCCCGCCCAAAGTCACGCCGCGCCACCGGCGCCCCGCGCGCCGGCCCGTCGCGCGCCCAGCCGTCCCACCCGAACCGCCAGCCGGGGCCGGGGCCGGGGCCGGGCGGCGGGTCAGGGTGCTGCGCGTGCGGGTGCGGCGCGGCGCGGGACGATGCGGCAGCGCGGAGCACTCCGGGCAGGCCGGCGTCGACCGACGCGTCATACAGTTTGCGCCTGCGGCCCAGCATGCGGTTGGTTGCCTGAGGACGGCCCGACGCCCCCGCATGGCGCCTGCAAGTCGCCATGGCGGCCACTGGCGGCTTCTGCAACCTGCCCCTGCAGACTGTTTGTAAAGCTGCATGCATGTACGAGCCCGCGCCTGCACGAATCATTTCATATCCCGTTGCCTTGCCCCCTACAAGGGCACGACGCGGGGGCTGCCGTCTACGCAGGGGGCGGCCGGGGCAATACCAGAGCACAGGCGCGCAAGCGGCTTCCGTGCAGCTTCCCCGCACCTCTCTGGGTCCGACAGCACCTCATAGGCCTCCACAAGCCGCAGGAACGCCACCGCCGCCTGCTGCTGGGACGCCGGCGCCGCGGGTGCGCCGCCTGCGCCGCTGTGGTGGCCGTGGCCGTGGCCGCGGCCGCTCTTGAGGACGTCTGGATGCACGCGCTTTGCCATGCGGCGGAACGCCGCCTTGACCTCCGCCTGGTCGGCGGCCTTGCCTACGCCCAGGATCGTGTATAGGCACTGCTGCGACTGCTGATCCGCGGCGTCTGCGCCGGCGCCAGTGGATGACGACGCGGCGAAGCGGGCTGCGGGGTGCTGAGGCAGCGGCTGCGCGTGCAGCACATGCAGCAGCGCAGCGCGCGAGCGCTGCAAGACGGCAATCATATTTTATGCTCGATCTATTCACGTGGCATGCGCGCCTGTGAGGCCACGATCTTTAAGTGGAGGATCATCACAGCCGTGCACAGCGCGCGCTGCAATGCCTACAAAAGCTCAGAGAGTGCTTAATGGAGTACTTGTGGGTCTGTTTCCAGCCTTGTTTCAGATCAGTCACACCGGGGTGACTTTCGAAGTGAGACTGTGACCGCACCTTACGTCTGTAAATGTGGGGCGCACGCGCGAAATGTTATGGGCTCCATTGCGTGTAATGCGCCATCGCGTATCCGCTTTCCTTCGTCCTGCCGAGTCGCTTTCCGCCACACCGTTCGCTGCTGCATTCAACGCCAGTCATTAGGATGCACGGACACTGCCGCAGCGGCGGCAGGCCCACACAATGCATGGGAACCAGCACAAGAACTCTACTGACTCCAATTCATTTGCGGACGCTCGGCTCCAGCAGTAGCGCCAGCAGACCAACAAGCCATGGTGCCCTCGCCAGTGGCTGGACGCATGCGCGCTCGCGCACCGCAGCGGCCGCGCCGCGCAGGCGGGAGCCGCGCGGGCGGTGCTGCGCAGCCGCGTCACCGCCGCCGCCGCTGCCGCCTGGCGATGTCTTTGAACCCCACGTCGATCCTTCAGTCTTGTATGGCCAGCTGGCGGTCCTCGCGCTCACGCTGGGTGCTGCAGCATACTGGTACGCTCCCACAGCCACCCTGCCTGATGCTAATCAGGCGCACGCAGCCTCCTACACATGGTTTCTTTCCAGCAACGGGTGCCTTTGCCAAATGCCAGCTGCCTGAACGAAGCTGGTATTTTTTATTTCTGCATTAATGGTCGAGCCCCACCTAAGCAGCGGCACCACGCCCCAACCTGGTGGCAGGTGGTGGAGCGTTGTACCCTCCGCGCGGCGCACTCTGGCAAAGGAGAAACGGGCGGGCGCCGTGCGGGGATACCTGGAAGAGATCCAAAACGATAGCGACCGCGGGCTGGAGCGCTGGTTCTACACAGGTGAGCTTACGCGCGGCCTGGCGCCGTCTGCAGCGGCGGCGCGTCGGGGCTTGCGGACTGCAGCCGCGGCTGTCCGCTGACCGGCTGTGGGCCGGGGCAGATGGGAGGCCCCGGATTGGGGTCGCCTCCACAGCCGGGCGTGCTGACGCTCTCGCAATCTTGCGTGCGCTCTGCAACTCCTTCCTACCAGACTGGCTCCGGCAGCTGGAGAGGCGCCAGGAGATGGCGCGCAACGCGGCCGCCAAGCGCGCGGCCGCGCTCGGCGGCGGCGCGGCGGCCGGCGGTGGCGGGGCGGAGGGCGGGACAGATGCCGAGCAGCAGCGGCAGCAGCAGCAGCAGAAGCAGGAGCAGCAGCAGCAGGAGGATGACGGTGACAGGCAGCCTGCGTTCTTTTCTCTGGACAACCCGCTGATTGCGACTGCGGCGCTCGTCGCTGGGGCAGGGGCCGCGAGCGCGCTGCTGCGCGCAGTGGCAGGGGCCGTTGCAGGCGTGATGCAATGATCGAATTTTCGCATTGCACAGCACATAGATCTTTCATCAAGGGGGTTTCTTATTTCCAGAAAGCATGAAGTCCATGCTTGCTGGTGCTGGGCGGTGGAGCGCCCGTCTAGCTGCATGGAGCTCAGCAGCCACTGGGCCACAGTGCAGATTTTCGGCTAATTGAATTACACGGTAACCCCCTAAATTCACATGCCAGGTTGGTTTGAAGCAGCTGAGTCTTTCATAGCACTGCTGAGACCCTGGCGGAAGCGCGGAAGCATTATGGCAGCCCCGAAAGTCAGAACTGGCGGGTGGGGGTTCGAGACTGGTTGTAATGATGGAACGCATGCTGTGCCGCGCCAGGTGCGTTGAGCGCCAGCTGCTCAGCAGCCCTAAAAGCGCCACCTGTAATTGTTGGAATACGCCATGCTCGTTAAGCCAACCCACAATTCGCGCCTGTCGCTTCCCCGCATGCCTACCCGGCATTGCAGGCAAGCAACAGATTTTGTGACAAACTGCATGCGGTTGACGTATCGGTATCTTGAAAGTACTACTCGAAATTATCATGATGATCGCAGCCGATTGCGACAAACGCGTTTCTGGCTCGTTGTCGACTCGAACGCCGCTCGCTGACGCTCCGCTGTTGCTGGTGCTGCTGCTCGTTTCGCTCCTGTCGGCGCCCTGCCGCGCTTCATTCTTCACGCCCATTGTCTCTTCAACAACCAAGCTCGTCTTTCAAGGGGCGGTTGTCGCCCAGGGTGCCGGGCCAGGGGCCGACGCAGCGAATTCCCCGTTGGGACAGCAGGCGGTGCAAGAGCGGGTCGACAATTATGTCGGTGTCTGCGATGCCGAGGGCCCTGAAGCCTGCGCCAGCCAGATCAACTGCAACTCAACCTCATTTTCGGCGACAGGGCGAGCAGCGGCGGCGGCGGGAGCGGCGGGGGACGCTGCTACGTGCACTCCCGCGCGCTGCTGCGGCTTCTCGAGCCGCTGCCGCGCAACGCGGCGGCGTGGGCGGCATTTTATCACGCAGCACTCAGGGACTGCAAGATCGAGGACGAGCAGTGCCGGCAGGCGGCATACAAGACGCTGCTGACCGCCGGCGGCGCCGCAGGCAAAGCCCAGATCTCCGAGCAGGCGCGGCTGGCCGACAGCGTTGTGTTCCACTGGCTGCCCTTTTGCGCTCTGCTCTGCGGCCCCGCCGCGGACGACGCCGGCGACGGCAGCTGCGGCGGAGCGAACTGCAGGATTGCGCTCGGCCTGGAATTGGATTCCATCTGCAGCGATAGCCCGTACGGAGCTCGCAAGGCCCCAAGCAACAACGCCGCTCAGCCGCCCCCTGAGGGCCCCGCGGCTTCGCCGCCCGCCCCAGCGCCCGGCAACGGAAGCAGCTCGTCTGCCGCTGCAGCACGGGAAGGTGTTGCCTGGATGGTTGCGGCAGCGCTGCTGGTGATGAGTCTGATCTGACCTAAATCATCAATTGGGTGGCTGCAAAGCATCGGTGCCCCTTGGCACACTTGGTAGTCCATGCGCCTCTGTTCTGGTGCTGCTGCAGTATCTTGGGGCAGCCCCACTGTCGTGATGCCTGATTCCTCATTGCCTGTTGGTCGCTGTAGCGGCTGCGCGTATCTCTGTTTTGCATACATCGTTCACGGCTTCAATATGAATTCAATATCAGAATCCATCAAGCGTGCTCTGTGATCACATGATGACAACCGCACATCCTACGCTCATCGCTCCCCCACATTTGCGCATGCTTTACTTCTTGCACTGACCTCATCGCACGCAACCTAGTCGCACGCACCGGCCTGCTGTAGGCAGCAGGCGCACGCACAGCCGCCAGATTGCGTTGCGCCTGCAGTGACGTCCGCCGTTTGACTTCGCCCATGAGCGTGTTGACTAGCGAGCATGCACTATGCACTATGGCCGCCAGGCACGCCAGTTGATCTCTTCTCAAGTGCATGCAAGCACGCATGGCTGCGTGCGCAGGCGGCATGCACACATTCTTGCACGAGCGTGCGCACGCAATCAGCGCGGGCGCGTCGGCTGCACGCATGCACGTGCGCACGAGACACCTCGGGCTCTCGCAGTGCCCTCACAAGGAACCGAGTGTGGTGGCAGAAGGCTCATCGGGCACGCTTGATGCCACGTATCGAAGCCAGCCAGCTGATTGGGGCAACCCCGGAGCGGGCACAGGGCAGGGCGCGCCCAGGACCCGATGACGTCAGCATCAATGTTTGTCGCCGCCGTCGCTGGCTGCTGTTTCACAAGCTCGGCAGGATCTTGTTGACATTGGAAACCTCACTTGGACGTACAAAACTTCTGCTGTTGTGCTGAAATTGCACAGACATCAACATAAAGTGCCAAATGGGTAACATGCCGAGGAATGCGTGCGAGTGGGTGATCACGTCGCTGAGCGCTTAAGGGTGCAAGCCATGCGGACCGTCTCCACCAGGAAGCCTGCGTGACGCGTTTTTCTTTCCGTGGAGTCTTTTACTGAGCACCTCTGAAAAAGCAAGCTGCGACGAAACCCCATTAACCGCCCGACGGCAGGTTGGGCTGGGATCCAGCCGTATGATGCGCGGCAGCAAAGTGCGTAACGCGAGTGGGGCATTCCTGCCATCACTTGGGCCACCAGTTCCTGCAGGGGTACCAGAAACTGCCATTGCCACTGGAAGGTGGCTGGTGTAGTCATGGACACTACCTACCGCAGTTGCAGATGGACGGCGACGCGGCGAGAACCGCCGCGGTGACCTTGAGTCACGACGTGCCGCATGCTCTGCTGCGTCGGCGGCAGTGTTTGCTAGGATGTAGCGGCATCAAGCACAAAACATACATTTGATCACGACCACGACAGAGCAGTGTCACCCCAAGTTCACGAGCCCGAGCTATCGATCTTTGTACAGCGGGATGAGGGCGCTGGGTGTCCTGCTGCTGCTGGCTGTTTTCTTGGTATCAGCCCACGCTGCTCGAGAATACCGCATTGTTCCAGGGTACGCGTCGCGGCGCGGTGCAGCGCTGCTCGGCAGTTGGCCGTGGCCGCAGATCTGATTACGTGCGCGCCGCGCCGGCCCGGGCGCAGCCTCAGGGGCGAAGGCCCCACAAAGCTCTGCTGAAGCTGGCTCCAAGGTCGCGGGGAAGCATAACCCGTCTGCTTAGCAGCAGGGTGTGCCCCTGCAATGGAACTTGCCGCTGGCAGCTGTCGTGGGCACTGCTCAGGGCTGGAAACACACACTCCGCTTCGCGACGCCCTGTCAAACCTCACCGCCAGGTTTGACATCCCGGGCAATGACATCCGCTCCCCCGACGGCAAGACCCCCTACACCAAGGTGTGCACCCCCGCCGGCGGCTACAAGGGCAAGATGGGCTACGACGCGTTCAAACAATACTGCGAAGACACCCCAAAGTGCGTCGCCGCCGTCGCGCCGAGCGCCCCCGACGGCTGCGCGTACCTCAAGACCAAAGGCGTCAGGGCCGTCACCAAGGCCGACCCCAAGTGGGTGGTGGTGACGTCGGCGGAGAAGCCCCAGCGGCCGTGCGCCTTTTCGCAGCTGGGGGGCCCCTGCACGACCGACCCCTGGGTGGAGCTGCCGGTCTGCTGCGGGGGCAACAAGAACCCCTGCGTCAACGGCGTCTGCGTCAGCGGCTTTCCGTCGAACCCGGCGCCCACCAAGAGCCCCCGCGTGTACCGCTTTGTATACCAGTGAGTGGGAAGACCCCTTGGCGCCCGTCTCGCAGCACCCGCGCACGCTTGCTCAAGCAGAAGCTCTCGCGTCAGCAAACTTGCGCGAGCCTGCACGTGCGTGTGCGCGTGCGTAAGGCTGGCATGGGCGCTGCATCGGCGCGTCGCTTCGCGACGGGCGCGGCCAGCTGCCAGGCGCAGTTCTCAAGACGTTCAAACACGTCAGTTTCCGCCAGTGCCTCAAACTCGCCGCCGCGGCCGCCGCCGCCGCCGGGACCCGCAGGCACCTCATCCAGGGCTACGACATCCCCTCCCCCGACGGCAAGACCCCCTTCACGCGCGTCTGCACCCCACCCGGCGGCTACAAGGGCAAGACCGGCTACGACGCCCTGCAGCTGTACTGCGACGAGCACGCCAAGTGCGTCGCGGTCGTCGGCGACAAGGACCAGTGCGGCTACCTGAAGACCAAGGGCACCCGCGACGCCACCTCACCCGACCCCAACTTCTTCGTGCTGACGTCAGCGGAGAAGCCCCAGCGGCCGTGCGCCTTCTCGCAGCTGGGGGGCCCCTGCACGACCGACCCCTGGGTGGAGCTGCCGGTGTGCTGCGGGGGCAACAAGAACCCCTGCGTCAACGGCGTCTGCGTCAGCGGGTACCCCTCTGGCCACTGAATCAGCCAGGCCTCGGCCCTGCCTACATCGCCCTGGCGGGACGCCCAGGGTGAACACCATCCGTAAGCACCCAGCCAAGCAAGCAAACGCCATGCAAACAAGGAATTGTCTTATTAATAGTTGCTGGCTGCGCGCCCGCGGGTGGCGGCCCCGCCTGCGGGAAGGCGCCCTTCAAACGCATGAACACGCATCACGGTAGATCGCCCCTGTGCCGTCCTTGATGATCTGCACTCCCTGGCAAACGTCGCGCCTGGGTGCCCCACAAGCTGCCACCGTGGCCGCTGCAACGTCACATCAGCATCAATGGCGCAGTACGCTGTGTTGAATCCAGGGGCGCGCCCGCTCACGTTTCGGCGCTCGCAACATTCAAGATTATGATTCACCATTGAACGCCGTTTGGTTGCCTTTGACCAAATCAGCAGTCATTTTACAATGAACAGGGCCTTGCCCTGCCTGTGATTTTGCGCTCGGCCACACGGCCAAAAGCGGTCCTCTCGTACGCAAAAACATTATGCACGCAAGCCAGCAAACATGAAATGTGACGAGCCGATTGGATGAGACAGCTGTACAGCAGGCGTAAAAGTGCGGCGTGTCCTCTGACCAACTTTGACCCAGAGGGTTGCGCTTTCCCAGGTTTAGCCCGGCACACATGCCAGCGAGGCTAAGGGGGAGGGGGGCGACACAGAGGATTACGCCTGCCGCGACGCAGGCAGGGCGGCTGGGGGGCCACCTAAAACGCCAGGCACATCCAGGCCGCCTTGATCGCCTGGATGCAGAACACGATCACGACTATCGAGTTTGCGGCCGGCACGGCGGACGACACCAGCTCCATCATCGGCCGCACAAGCAGGCCTTTTGCCACCTGCTGCTTCGCGCCCCAACCGAAGCATGTGAAAGACGAGGCCGCGAGCTGGAACGACGCGATCGCCCCTGCAATGTTTATGACCATCAGGAACAGCAGCAGGAAGGACGCCGCCTGCCACGGCCCCGCGGCCGCGCGCGCGGCGTTGCGCTGCTGGTTGTCGGAGTCCGGGGACTGGCGCTGCTGCAGGCGCTGGACTGCCGCGTGCAGCGACTCGAGCTCCGCCTGCAGGGTCTTGTTGTGGGAGTGGGCCTGGCTCAGCTGCTCGGACAGGTCTGCAGCGACAGGGTTGGGCGATGGTTGGTGTGTGCATGCGTGGGAAACCAGAACCTGACTGCAGTCAGGCCTGCGGCGTGACGGCTGTGTTCATGCAGCTTGCGTGTCCTGTCCGTCCTGTGGAGCCTGCAACGCCCTGGCGCATCCTCAGCACACCCTGGCATGTGAGGCGTCCCACGAGAAGCTGATCCCACCGATGTGCACGCACCCGAGTACCCGGCCCAAAGGAGCTCTCTTTCCTCGTCGTTGCTGAAACCCGTCGCCCAAGGCGTGGGGCGCCGGCCGCCAGCGAACATGCGCGGCCCCTGCTGCCCTTGCTGCCCCTGCTGCTGCTGCCCCTGCTGCTGCTGCCCCTGCTGCTGCTGGTGTGGCAGTGCCGGCCGTGCGCCATGCGGCAAAGTTCCCCACCAGGGGCCCCCGCCTTGCTGAGGTTCTGGGGCAACAGCGCAGGCGATCCGGGCACGACGCAGTGCGTGCGCTGGCTTCAACACGACGGTTGCCGCGCGCGACTGCAGCATGCATGCATGTCTAAGGCGGGAGTAATGCATATAGCTGAATGTAAGCGCCATTCTTTGGAAAGATATGGCTGCCGCAGCTCGCTGATGGTGCGGGCCGAGATCACGACTTTACGAGACGAAGCTGCGATCCATCAAAGAGACACTCAAACAGCAGTGATACGGAGACAGTGGACAATCGTGCCATCAAGGACCTTTCCTGGCACCCGTTCACAGTTCCATGCAACGGCGGACTCTGCCGGCCGACGTGACCGTCAAACCTGGCCGGTGGCAAGTGATGACCTGGCCGTACCTTGCCTTTGATTGCCAATGAGCCAACCAACCGCCTCGCAAGGCATATCAGCATCATGGGACTGCTTTGGACCATCTATGCAGACGAAGCAGGTGGGCAAGGGTGAGGGGCCCAGCGGAGCACCCCCCCCCCCCACCCCCAGGCTCCCAATTCACCAGCCGCACGGCCCAGCCGCACGCCAGCAACATGGCACAGTCCAAGCACAATTGGCATCACTCATATGGTGATGTAGACCCAGTCACCAACCGTTCAAGCAGCTGCTCGTATGTACACGACAGGGGTACGCGAGCGCGGAACAGGTGCGACGCCTGCAGCCCGTTGCCAAAGCCTTCCAGTATCCGGACTGCGTGAGCGACCCTCCACATTGCAGGATAACACCAGGCATCTGACAGCCAGGATGAGCATACGTCCGCCTCAGTTTACTCAAGTAGTACTGCCTGGCAGAGGAACGCAAACATCAGCAATCCTGAAATGCAGCAGCCCTTCAAAAACAAGGGGCTGTGCGAGGCTCTGAGGACGCAAGTGTCCCCCGAACTGCTTCATTGTGAAGGGCCTGCCACGCAACAGCGTCATGGAAAAGCGTGCCCATGCATAAGCGCATGCACAAGGGGCCAAACCGCGCTCAGCGCGCAGAGGCGCAGCAGAGAACGCGAGTGTTGATATACACATGCGTGCGGCGCGCACAAGGCAGGATTGGCAAGCGCGGTTCGCTGGGGAGCGGGCTGGAATCAGCACCACAGGTCAGGAAAGCTGGAAAGCAGCGAAGTCGTAAACATGGCAAAAACAGAGACGACCAGGTGGGCTTCAGGCCAACAGGGTTTGATGTATGAGTTGATAGTAGTGTGGCGGAAGGTGTGCCAGATGGAAAGCGAAGGCCGCGGGATGGGGGCGCGGCCACTTGGGGCATCCATGCTAGCGCAATGCGACCGACAGTTTCGTAAAATTCATCACAGTACTGGTGCAGCAGGGGCAAAGACCGGCAGCGGCAGACAGTTCAGCAGCGGCAGACAGTTCGACAGCGGCAGACAGATGGGCAGCGCAAGGTTGCAGGGCGCGTCATGCGGCGGCGGCTGCCAATAGAGGCTGGCGGCCGCCTCTCAACCTGACGTGCCCGCACCCGAACCGCGCGCCCCTTGCCGCTGCCGGACCGCCCTTCGCCGCCACCGCCACACCGCCGCCGTCGCTGCCGCGGCTCCTGGCGAAACCAGAGCTGGTAAGCACGCGGCCGCTGCACGCGGCAGCCGCGCGGCCCGCCCGACGGATCATGCCCAGTCCCTCACACCCTGCGCGCCCGGACGGCGCGGCCAGGAGCACCACCAAGTGCATTATAGCTAAGCACGCGAGCACGGCAGGCTCGGGGTAGCTCCTGGACGCGCCGCAGGGGGCGGCAGAGGGGATGTCGGCGGGGCCCGCGCCCCTATAGGGGCTAGCGAGCCGCGCCTTGAGGCCGGCATTCTCCTCGGACAGGCCGCGCAGCTGCGCGCGCAGCGCCGCGTTCTCCTGCTCCAGCGCCGCCAGCCGCGCCGCCGTCTCGGCCCACTGCTCCTTCTTCCGCTCGCGACTGCGCGCAGCGGTCACGCGGTTTTTCGCCAGCCGCCGCTGGCGGCGGCGCTCTGCGGGGTCGGATATGGCGCGCCAGTTGACCTCCGGCGCGCGGCGGCGCAGCGCCGCCAGCTGCGCCTTAGTCAGGGGCTGCTGCTCGCTGCCGCCATCGTCCTCGTCGTCGTCGCTGCTCGTGTCCGCGTCGCTGTCGTTCTCCGCGGCGGCCGCGCTGGGGGCCGCGGCGGAGGCGCGCCGCTTGGCGGCCTTGGCGGCGGGCGCCGCGCGGGCCGCGGGCTGCTGCTTGCGCTTGGCCCCGGTGGAGGCCGGCACGGGGATGGGGGCGGCTGCGAGCGACGCGGTGGGGGACGCCAAGCCATCCGCGGCGGAGCCGCCAGCCGAGATGTGCGTGAGGTCGCTGCTCTCCGATGGCGAGGCTGCTGGCTGGCAAAGCTGCTGCTGCTGCTGCTGCTGCTGCGGCTGCTTGATGTCTCCACACGGGATTGGAAGCTGCTGCTGCCCGATGTGCGGTGTGAGCACCAGTGGCAGTGCCACTACTGGCGGCAGCACACAGGAGCCAAAGACGGGCGCGCTCAGCTGTGGCGCCAGCGCCGCGTGGGTGGTGGTGACGACCGCGTTGTGATGGAAGAAGCACGAGGCTGCCGCGACAGGGGCGCAGGCGTCGGCGCCGGCGCTGGCTTTGGACTCTGCTGTTGCTGCTGCGCTACTGCTGCTGCGGACGCAATCGCCGCCCATGTGGGCGCTGCCGTCGGTGGAGTGGTCCGAGGTGGCGCGCACGAGGAATGGCGCAGACAGCTGCGGCGTGTCGGCGTCGCAGGCGGCGGCGTTGTCCAACGTGGTGTCGGCGCTCAGGAGCGCCAACAGGTCCGGCACCAACGCGTCGTCAGTGTCGAGCAGCTGCGGCGGGGAGCCAAGGCCCTGCCAGAACAGGTCTTGCTCAATGGCGTCGGTGTCCATGCCTGTTGCGTGGAGGGGGAAGGAGGAAGGGGGATGAGGAGTGCGGAGAATGAGGCCAGGCACATCAAGGTTGGCATGCAGGAGCTGCCTGGGCCCCCACGCTTTTCCCGGTGGCGTGCAGAGTGCAAGAACATGGGGGGGCTGGCGCAAATGAAATAAACTCAGTGGTTTGAGCCACAAAAATCCATCGCGAGGCTCGGACTGCGCGGGTTGCGAGGGGCCCGTCGGACATCGTGTCCCACCCAGCTCAACGTCCCCTAGCGATCCACACGCACCTGCGCGCGACTCAGGGACACTTCAACCCACGCTTGAGTCCACGGTGTTGAGCTGTGTGCCCGTGGCGCTGTGCAATCGGAAGACTCTAGATGGGCGTTTGCGGTCTAAAGTACCTGTAAGTAGCGACGGTATGCGTGGTTTGTGACGTTGCAGACAAACGCTTTGAACTATTGAGGTCTATCGAGCTGCGTTGGAAAGGAGCCACGGTTTATCCTCAGCCGAGGAAGGCAGGTCGATAGGCAGGTCACCTGGGCCAGCTGGCGCCCTTGTCATCGCTCGTGGCCATTGCACGTGATTTTCAAGAACGCCTCAGTACGCTCAAATCGACCTCGGACAGGGCTGTATTCGCTAGATCACACGGCCATCAGATCCACGTAGGCCCTGTGTGGGGCACCTGTTGCGAGTCCTTATCAATCGTGGACGCCATGCTTATGAGTACGGTTATGTGGGGCCACCTTCTGCAACGCGCAGCCGCGACTGCAGTGCAGCAGCAAATGGTCGGCAGCGCAGCAGCGACGCTGCTGCCACTGCTGCCAGTGCATGCAGCGGCGAAACCCTCAGAGCAGCTGGCAGAGCGGTGCATCTCGCACAGCCAGGCCACCTGCAGTGACAACAGCTCAGCAGGTGCGGCTGGGCCAGCCGGCAGAGTGCCAGGCGCTCGGTTGCGTGGGCTTTTTCTAGTGCAGGGTGATGCAGTTTGCCTTTCAGCCCAGCCTGACATCACCCACCTTGCGCATGCAGGAGCTCCGGCCGACAGCAATGCAGCTCCTTCACAGCAGCAGCAGCAGCAGCAGTGGCAGCGGGGGCTGCTCGATGGACCCCTGATACAGGACCCAGCGGCCGACCTGCCGCCTCCGCAGGCAGAGCTGGTGGAACAGGTCAGACCCCGCCCCCCCCCGCCC